ATCAAACGCCTAGCCTTCTGATCAAACGCCTAGCCTTCTGATCAAACGCCTAGCCTTCTGATCAAACGCCTAGCCTTCTGATCAAACACCTAGCCTTCTGATCAAACACCTAGCCTTCTGATCAAACACCTAGCCTTCTGATCAAACACCTAGCCTTCTGATTAACCTTCTCGGATTATAAGGGCTAAAAATCCCAGAGGTCCTGTTTACAAGTTGTGTAGTTAAAGATATCCCTTGATGTTCTTCAAATCCATATATAACAGTGTAGGCTTCAGCCACTACCTAGGCAAAATTCTAAATTTGTTCCTGCTTAAATTAAAAATACTTTAGTCAGTGTGCTAAAAAAAACCCATTAAATAAGAGAGCACGGCATTGTACCTCCAAAACCTCCAAAACCCAAACCAGAATGCGGCTGCCAACTTGAAGGCAAGGGGCCCTGTGATCTAGCAGTTTGAAAAACCAACAGTCGACTACCCCTGAGATCTAGCAGGTTGAAGAACCAGCGATATCAATATATATATATATATGTGTATGTTTTAGTAATCAACAATTTTAAAAAGTACGGGGGTTGAAGTTGACGGTTGTAGTCAAGTATTTGTAATGTAGACAATAGTAAACAAAGGTGTAAGGAAAAAAGCCAGTTCTACGGCGTGGACTCAAGTCCCAATATTGATATATCTAATTTTTATCTATTTGGACTCAAGTCCTCAAAAAATGTTTTATTTATTCGGACTCAGCTTAGAACTAAGTGAGTTATGTGGGTGTAAGGAGGTTACATATAACTGTCGTCGGGGGATTTTACGTAAAACCAGAATTAGAACTAGAATTGCCTATTAGGACTGTGTAATTGCGTCAAAAGTCAAAAGACAGCACTCTCATTAGATCTACCCATCATGGCAGAGTCTAAGACTCAAGTATACACGGTAACACATGCCGTTAAACGTAGAAAAGACGCATCTTTCTGATTGGCTGCTAATTTTAGTACTGTGATGTCATCACTTCCTGGGATACCCACATGGAACGACGTGTTTTCGGTAACAAACTAACATTTAGGATTTCCTAGATATCTAGATCTAGATTAGATCTAGGTCTAGATTCTAGATCTAGATAGTAGGCCTACTTGGACATGAAGGAAGACTGCACGAAAATTGCCGTAAAGACGCTGGAGGATTAGATCTAGATCTAGATCTAGATATTTAAATCTAGATCTACCACCCCCCCCTCCTGCATTTTTAATCACTAATATATTCTTTTAAAAAAAACAACTTCAAAGCAACTCTACAAATTAGGCCTATAATTTATGCGACTGCTGGTCAGTCGGGAGGAGGAGAAGAGAAAATAAAAAACTGTCCGGGACTGAACTGCTCCAAAAATCATTGCACGACTTCAAACGCAGACGCGCTGTCTATTCAGCCATCAGAACTTCCGAGAGAGAGGTGTAGATTAAGCATGATATAATAGACACTTCCATTTTTGGTGCCATGCGGTTGGCTATACTTAGATGTAGTCACGTGATCGGAGGAGTATCCTGGTCTGACGTCAAACAAGATGGGCGCCCTACCTAAAAATAGTTTGCGTCTTAGCCATCTAAATCTTTCGGTGCTTTTTCGGTAGTTCCCACCCCCCTTATTTGAGCCTGACCTACATCTAGATCTTGATCTAGATCTAGATCTATACGTTTGATTCACGGTGAGCTAAGATATCAAACCTAACAACAGCAAAACATTAAATTGTGGTAAAATTCAGGGGGGCATTCCCCCCTGAAACCCCCCTTCCTATTTTCGTTAGGTCAGGGGGGCAAGCCCCCCTGAAACCCCCCTACTCTTGGGGCCAAAACCCGTGAATAACAATTGCGGGGTGGGAACTACCGAAAAAGCGCCAATCTTTCTACGTTTAATCGCATGTCACGGCCACGATAACCGACAACTCAGGGTCCTTCCACCACCACTCAGCATCATCATTACTTCCACCATTTATTTTTCCACTTGTTTAATTTCATTTTGTTGTGTTATAGTTTTTCTGTATTTTTTTTTTTTTAATCACATCGCACAAAATCAACATCCGTGGCCTCTTCTCAACACATCTCTTGAATCTTCCCTCAGCAAGCCGTGAGTGCGTAAACAGAATAAATCATGAATGTTTTCATTTTATTCACCTGCCACAAATGAGAACAAGCGTCAGTTAGATCTAGGCCTAGATCTAGATCTAAGTCTTGCAGAATTGTGTTTCTTCCAACTGAACAATCACAGAAGTACAGGTGATACAGTACCAACAATAATTTCTTACTTTCGGTTTTCTTTTCTTTCGCTGACTGATCCAAAAACAGAAAGCTGAAAGATAGAGTGACCTCCCTTCGCTTGAAAGAGTTTGTCAGTTTGGCTCCAGAAATGTGGCTTTTTTAACTGAGATTTTATACCAAAGATAGTAAAAGGTCCTAGGTTTATACCTTATCAAAGACCTTGTGGCCCTTATACACGCACAGTGTTTTCATTTTTGTCTCTTTTTTGGCTCCAAATGGTCCCAAAAAAATGTGTGTGTGTGTGGGGGGGGGGGGGGGGGGGTGTAAGTAGAACGGTCGAGAGAATTATAGTAATAGCTTGGGTTGCAGCGACATGTTTACAAAATTACAGAACGACGTCATTGATGTGATTGAATCAAGGAGATTAAAAGTTCTAAACTCCTTGGATTGAATGCACCAATTTTATAGAGATTTATAGAGATAACATAAGGCTATAACCATGCACATAACAAGAACAGGATTAGCCTCGCGTAAGCTCGACTGTACCTTCCCATTTAGGTCAAGGCAACAACTGGACGTAACAACATGATATAGGGCTCCAAATTTATTCAAGCTACGGTGAGAGTCTGTTCTCAAAAAGTCTGTAGAGAACACGACAGCTTCATATGCTTTTCCCCTTGGCTTCCTGTAAACCCTATGTGTGTGTGTGGGGGGGTGGGGGGGGGCTATATATTACAAGCGTTGAAACGATCCAGCACCACCATAATAATCAGACAGAAATTAGAAATGGACCGTATTTGGTCTATCAGAATTTTCGATCAGTTTTTTTTATAAATTTAAGACTTAATTTGTTTTGGATTTTTTAAAGAATTAGTTCTGAATTTGAGTAGATCTAGATATCTAGTCTTTTTCCACAGCTGATCCCTGCGGAATTCCCTCCCACTGCATCTAAAAGAGGTGTTGACAACATCATAATCTGGTCTAAATATAAGATTCATTAATTTAAATCTTATTTTACAAACTATAATAGTTTGACTCTTCGTCTAACAACAGAAATGACCAAGGCACCCACAGTGGTTGCAAGTTTCTGTATGACGTGTTCCTTTGTCACCACATTGCCGTTCGTCGGTTTGACGTGTGCAAAATGTGTAGAAAGGACTGGTAGTGTTTGTACATTGGGTCGGCCGGTGTGCTTGAGTGTCATTTTGTAATCTTGTGTAATTGCTGTTGAAATGTTAGTTATTATTATTAGTTGTATTATTATTATTATTATTATTATTATTATTATTATTATTATTATTATTACATGTATTATTATTATTACCAAATTATTTCTACCGATAGTAATTCTTGAAATCAAGTAAAAGTATATATTATTGTTTTATAGTGGTAATGTTTTCTTTTATGTTCGTTTTTTTTAATGGTCAAGTGAAATGGCCTTCCAAAAAACAAAAAAAAACAATCCACACGCATTGAAACCGAAAACTTAGAAAGTAAACACCCGTATGTCTAGTATGTATTATACTTTTAGGACATCTAATTTGGCTCCGAATTTGTCGGTCGTTTGACCCTGGCTACCGGGAACATCTCTGGCAATCCTGCTTCGGACTGTGAATGGATGCCAGATAGGACAGCAAACTGCCATTCTTGTGTTTTCCTTCCTTCCGTCATCTCCGTTTCTTTCCTTCCTCTCTCAAGATTCTAATGACTACTTCAAATTTATCAATAGAAGGCCTAGATCTAGAGCTACCCCTAAGCTATCGTAATGACTAAACCAACCCTAAATGTTAACTTAGTTTTACTCTTTGCAACGTTCAGTCAGGCATTTTCTTCCTTCCCGAAGTCCAAAGTTGCCTGCTGATCGGATCGTGATGTGTGGGAAAGAAATCTACCCCCCCCCCCTCCCCTAGTACTAGTAGATCTACTAGTAGATATATATCTATCTCTATGTATATCTATTTCGCGAGAATTGGGTCAGGGTGCGGACTTGGCCTATAGGCAAGATAGGCTACGTTCTTATAGGCCTACTAACCTCTCTGACCGTCTAGGGTGCAGAGGAAGGGAGGTTCTGAATAGATGATCTAGATCTATCTACCGGTCCGAGATTCTTTATTGAGATACTGAGCAATATCATGAATTCCTAAGGTTGAGACACAGGCCATAGGCCTGTCCCCGGTGTTTTATGCACCCCGCATAATTTTGAAAAATTTGATCATTTTTCGCTTAATTTCTGATTATTTTCCTTTATCATTCTTTGTTAAAATCAACAGAATCACTTAATTTCACATTTATTGGGCTCAGTTTGCATAGTTTCAGATAATTTTTGCATAAAACCGCGGGGACAGATAGGCAAAAGTAAAAGTAGTCCCAATATGTTCTATATCCCCTGGTCCGGTATTCTTCAATCATATCAAAAATCTTGTTTGCTGTTCTTTTATTTCTCTTTAGTTTTAGTAGACTAGATCTATATAGATCTAGATCTAGGAATCTTTCATTATTTTCCAACAATGTGTCCACACCGTCAAACGGAGACCCACTCTGTGACTGTCTTGGCGCCAAAAGTTCAGTTCAGTTAACTGGAAAGCTCAAAAGGCCGGTGCCAGTTTCCAATCTTGATCTAGATCTAGTTTCTTAGTTGAAAAATCTACCAAGCTACAGGGGCCTACTCTTGGAAATATACAATGGGTTTTTTGTTTTTTTTTACACCGTAAATGGTTGTCTGTTCCTGCTACTGTTAGTGGCAGCCCAAGATCTATGTGATCCATAGAGTTACTATAGTGTAGGCCTACATCTATGATGTGATCCCATTCTTACTTCTTACTCTATCGCTATCGCCCTGAAGCAGGGTTGCCAGTTGCCACTCTCTATTTTGACACAAACCCAGATCCGGCCAAATTTGGGTCAAAATAAACCCAGATTTCAGTCCATAAACCCAGATACATAGCTTATATAAGGAAAAAAAAGGCTAATACTCCACCAACATTTAAAATAACATTGCTTACAGCGTGTGCAGTAGGCCAGATTTTAATGACAACACATGTAATGTAGCCTACGATGTAGGTGGCCTACTTAATCTCAGTATAATAACACAGTAGGCCTATGTGATCATTGTTTTAAAAACCAAATGAGCCAAGAACCCAGATTTACTCAAATTTCCCTTGTACCTTTCCAGAACCCAGAACCCAAGTCGAAATACCCACATCTGAGTTCAAAAACCCAGGAGTGGCAACCCTGCCCTGAAGACGTCCATGTATGCCAGGTCCACAGTATAGTTGCATCGACAGGCACCTTCTGACAACAGGGGCTGTAGCTCAAGTGGTAGAGCGCTCGCTTAGCATGTGAGAGGTACCGGGATCGATACCCGGCAGCTCCAATTTTTTTTTTCGTTCAATCTTTTTCATGGATATTCTAGATCTAGAATAAATTCATGAATTTCAGTACTATATTTGAAGCACGTCTATCTCCATTTAACTCATAATTTGATATTTTACAAGTTAGATTTGAACTTTTCTTGAAAATTATTGATTTGCGACAGTTTTGGTGGCTTTATGTGTGATCCCCCAAGCAGTGTATAGATTTTCTATATTATATTTCTGTGAGCGGGAGTGAAAGTAAAAATTTACCTACATGTATTTGAATTTGTTTTGTTAAGTTGGGTTGTTTTTTTAAGTTTATGCGTGCTCCACTCAGTTGGTCAACTTCACAATATCGTACATGTATAAAATTGACAGACTGACCGCTGAAAGATGTCTGTTTATCACTTCCTAAATACGTTCTCTTTATAGAAAAATATTTTCTTGGAAATTGACAGTTCTATATATAGAAATCTATATGAAATGTATACAGAACAACTATTTGAACTATGGGGCACAATGTGTTCATTCATCTCAGTAAAAGAAGACAGTATAAGGCCGAAAACCATACATCAGGCACTATCGCATGAGGCGCTGACAGGTCTGCTGCTGTCCTTTGACGTTCATTGTTCGTGGAAACAGAGAAGCTGACCTTGGCATCGATGGGAAAGTCTCAAGGCAGTTTATTATTAAGCATTTATTTATTACATGGACAAATTTTCCGCACCAATTTTTATGCTTTCATTTTTTTCTCAAAAAGTCAAATTTTGGTGATTGTTCTCACAATGTCATGTACCGGGAGGTGAAAATTATTTGATTTTTTAAAGTAGAAATTATAGCCAGTACACACTGTCTGTACACTAATACTGTAATAGTACACACTGTCTGTACACTTATACTGTACTTATAGCCAGTACACACTGTCTGTACACTTATACTGTACTTATAGTACACACTGTCTGTACACTTATACTGTACTTATAGTACACACTGTCTGTACACTTATACTGTACTTATAGCCAGTACACACTGTCTGTACACTTATACTGTACTTATAGCCAGTACACACTGTCTGTACACTTATACTGTACTTATAGCCAGTACACACTGTCTGTACACTTATACTGTACTTATGGGGAAGGGGCAAAAGTTGTCATTTTGGCACCTTTTGACCAAATTCAACTCTAAAGTTTGACAGTGACCGTCAAAATCAAACACTTTTGTTTTCAAGGGACTAAGACAAATCGGCCGCATTGTGCCAAAATGGGAGCTTTTGCACGTCCAAGGAATACCTGGCAGCCCCTCCCCGCAGTTCGACTGAGCCCGACAATCGTAGCGTGCACGTACCAGATTTCTTCCCTGGCTTATTTCCCGAGTTCTTCCCTCTTCCCGCCACAGACAAGAGGAACAACGCGGGCGTTTGTAGCACATGGAGGATTTATTTGGATGCCAAACATTGATGCATAAAGACAGGAGAGAGAAGGGAAAACTACGAACAGAGGGCTGGATGATCCGACCAAAGTCGGGGACAAAAATCTGTGAGAACCATTGACTAATCACATTGAGTAGATATAATACAACAAACTGGAGATTGCATTGAAAGAAAAGATTTCTACAAACCACACTTAGTAAGTGACTTAGAAAGGCAAATGTAAGCCTCAGTGTTTGTCGATTGACTCTTCAAGGTACCATACAGACATACAGACATTCAATGTACAGACTTTTGTACACACAGTATTGGACAAACTAAGTGACATGGTCCAAAAGCTAAATAAGTATATAATATGCGTAGATATATATATTATATATATATAGATATATAAATATATGCCTAAAATAGTACAGCTAAAGCTAGGAGCAGGATCACTCTATACAAGGAAAAGTTTTGTTCACAGGTAATTTTTCATTATATTTTAGTGAAAGAAAAAACAACAACAGCGGCAAACACTCACGTAGTCACGTATCACACACTCACGTAGTCACGTATCACACACTCACGTAGTCACGTATCACACACTCACGTAGTCACGTATCACACTCTCACGTAGTCACGTATCACACACTCACGTAGTCACGTATCACACACTCATGTAGTCACGTATCACACACTCCTGTAGTCACGTATCACACACTCCTGTAGTCACGTATCACACACTCCTGTAGTCACGTATCACACACTCATGTAGTCACGTATCACACACTCACGTAGTCACGTATCACACACTCATGTAGTCACGTATCACACACTCATGTAGTCACGTATCACAAAACACTCTCATGTAGTCACGTATCACACACTCATGTAGTCACGTATCACAAAACACACTCATGAAGTCACGTATCACAAAACACACTCATGTAGTCACGTATCACACACTCATGTAGTCACGTATCACACACTCACGTAGTCACGTATCACACACTCACGTAGTCACGTATCACACACTCACGTAGTCACGTATCACACACTCACGTAGTCACGTATCACACACTCATGTAGTCACGTATCACACACTCCTGTAGTCACGTATCACACACTCCTGTAGTCACGTATCACACACTCCTGTAGTCACGTATCACACACTCATGTAGTCACGTATCACACACTCACGTAGTCACGTATCACACACTCATGTAGTCACGTATCACACACTCATGTAGTCACGTATCACACACTCATGTAGTCACGTATCACAAAACACTCTCATGTAGTCACGTATCACACACTCATGTAGTCACGTATCACAAAACACTCTCATGTAGTCACGTATCACACACTCATGTAGTCACGTATCACAAAACACACTCATGAAGTCACGTATCACAAAACACACTCATGTAGTCACGTATCACACACTCATGTAGTCACGTATCACACACTCACGTAGTCACGTATCACACACTCACGTAGTCACGTATCACACACTAATGTAGTCACGTATCACAAAACACTCTCATGTAGTCACGTATCACAC